AAGCAGTACCCAGTAATAGAACGACGATCAGTAGGATCTCCAGCCCAATCCGCATCAGAATAGCCGCTAAGTGTCAAGGAAGAACGTGCCGAGAAGTGTAAACCATGCAAAAGAGTGCCCTTCACATAGCGAAGAATGTGCAACACAGCAGAATGATGCGTGGTTCTCAGAGCAGCCATAAACTGACTCACAATATGAACAACATGAGCTATATCAGGCCGAGTGACAGTCAAATAAATCAAACTCCCAACAAGCTGACGATATAACGTAGGATCCTCAAGAAGAGAGCCATCCAATGGAGTAAGACGAACATCATAATCAAGAGGTGTAGAAGCTGTCTGACAATCAGTGAGACCGGCCCGAGCAAGAAGATCAGAGGCATACTTGGCTTGAAACAAATAGAAGCCATCAAAGGAATCAGAAATCTCAAGACCCAAAAAATAGCGAAGCTGGCCCAAACTCTTCATCTCAAAACGCTGACGAAGATAGTCCTGTAAATCAGAAATACCGGTAACATCATCTCCCGTGATGATCATATCGTCAACATAGAGCAGTAAAATAATAATCCCAGATGAGGAGCGCCGAAGAAACAAAGCAGAATCGTTATCACTCGTAGTGAAACCAAACTGAAACAATGCAGAACTGAACGTGGCATACCAGGCACGAGGCGCTTGTTTCAAACCATACAAAGCTCGACGTAGACGACAAACCTTGCCAGAGGATAAGGATCCCGGAGGAGGAGTCATGTAAACCTCCTCAGATAAGGCCCCATGCAAGAAGGCATTCTTAACATCTAACTGTAGAAGAGACCATCGACGAACAGCAACAACAACAAATAAACACCGAACAGTAGTAAGACGAGCAACCGGTGCAAAGGTCTCTTCATAATCGATGTCGTACTCCTGTGAGTACCCCTTAGCAACCAGACGAGCTTTGTAGTGCTCAATAGAACCATCTGAATTTGTCTTGATCTTATAAACCCATTTGCATCGGATGGGTTTCTTTCCAGCAGATAGATCCACCAAATCCCAAGTATGAGTCTTCTCCAATGCCTGCAATTCCTCAGCCATAGCTTGTTGCCACAATGGATCGGCACTCGCCTCATGAAAAGATCTAGGCTCATGAAGAGATAGTATGGCCGAATAACAATGATAGTCAAGTAAGTGAGAAGGGGGACGACTTACACGAGTTGATCGTCGGTGATCAATGGTAGGTGAAGGGACAGAGTCAGAGGAGGACTCAACAGGGAGCGTCAGTTCAGGATGCGTAGGTGGAGCCACTTCGGAAGACGGAGGCATGACAGGCGTGTCAATGAGCTGTGAGTCAGGACAAGTATCTGGAAAGAGATTCGGAGTAATGGACATGAAGAAAGGGGACGACGAATCGAAGCGAATGTGAAATTTAAACAAAGAAGAAAAAGTAGTATGCTCCCAAAAGGTAACGTGACGCGAAATACGCAACCGATTAGCAATAGGATCCCAATACCTAAACCCTTTGTGTTCTACCCCATAACTCAAAAAACAACACAGACGAGCTCGAGGTTCCAATTTGGTCCGCTCATGGGATGGGAGAAGAACAAAGCAAACACAACCAAAGGGGCGTAACTGAGTATAATCAGGCGACTGACCGTACAACCTCTCAAAAGGACTGATATCTCGAAGAACTGACGAGGGTAATCGATTGATAGCATAAATAGCAGTCAAGGCTGCCTCACCCCAGAAACGATCAAGACACTGAGCAGAAAGGAGAAGAGAATGAACATTATCAAGAATGTGGCGATGCTTACGTTCAGCTCGTCCATTTTGTTGAGAAGTATAAGGACATGAACGCTGAACTGTTGTGCCCTGATCAGAAAGAAATTGTAAAAAGGTAGAATCTTTGTACTCAAGGACATTGTCAGTACGCAAGACTTGTATAGGACAAGAAAATTGAGTGTGAATCATTCTAGCAAATTGAATATATATGGTGGGCAACTCAGAACGATGTTTGAGAAAATAGATTCAGGTAAAACGAGAAAAATCATCAACAAAAATAACAAAGTACCAAAAACCATTCATAGAAGGAACTGGAGAAGGACCCCAAATATCAGAATGTACCAAACTAAAAGGTTTATCAGCAGTTGACAAATTCTCAGAAAAAGAAAGAGCCGAGTGTTTCTCAAGTTTACAATGAAGACAACTAAAAGACTCAAAATGACTTGGATCTAAAAGACCTTTGTTATATAAAGAACGAACTTTATTTAAAGACGCATGCCCAAGACGAAGATGTCACTGAAAGCTGGACTTATTATCTGTGATAAGAGTAGAAAAGGAGGAAGAACGAGGGATATGAAGAGACTCAAGCTCAAATAAACGACCCATCTTACGACCCATCCCGAGAAGCCGACCCGTCTGTGTATCCTGAACCTGAACACCAGAAGATGAAAGTATAACATTAAGGCCTTGTTCAACCAATTGACCAACAGAAAGGCCAAGTCAGGAATGCAGTATGTGTCAGGAAGGTGTAAAGAGGGGGAAGAAACCAGACCAGTGTGAGTAATACTCATATGGGTACCATTGGCAGTATGTATAGAAGGTAAAGAAGTTACGGAAGACAAGGAAGACAAAAACTGTGGACTAGAGGTCATGTGATTGCAACAACCAGAATCAAAGTACCAATGAGGGTTACCTGCAGTAGCAGACATAGCAGAATTGGAACGGATAACCTGTTTGAGAATAGCTTCAATGTCTTGAAGAGTGTAAGACGAGTGCTGAGGCTCATCAGTGACAGCCGTTGTAACCGAAGAAGGGGTCAATGAAGAAGACCCACGAGACCCTCGAAATCGAGAAAATGAACCTCTCGAACGTTGTGACTTGACTGGACAATTTGGAGCAATATGCCCCCGAGCATAACAGATGTAACACTCCACATTAGAACAATTTGGAGCAATATGCCCCCGAGCATGACAGATGTGACACTCCACCTTAGAACAAATGGCAAAAGGGTGACTAGAGCTCCTGCAAATCCCACAATAAACACGGACCGGTGGCTGAGGCTGATGCGACGGAGCGGAAGCAGAAATAGACACAACACTAATAGAAGAATGCACATCCATACGATCCATATCCAAAAACCAGAACAACACAATATCACGAAACATATGAAAATATAGGCACAAATTGGATCACAAAACCGTCAAAATAACACAAATCAGGTGAAATTAAAAACTTCACGAAAACCAAAACTGACTACACCAGGATGTATCCGCCGATGAGAGGAGTCGACGGCTGAAACACGACGGCAATCGGAGAAGGAGGTGTATCTCACGCGCCGGCTGAAGCTGCCGGCGCTGTCTCACTATTCCGGCGAGTGTGGGCCCCACGCGCCTGCGATCGGGCTGAAAGTTTCAGCGAACTGTCACCGGAGGATGCCAGAGAGGATGGTGTGGGAGGTGAGAATTGGAGACGACCGGAAACAAGCGATAAAATACCAAGCCTATATTGGACTATAAACCTAATCTGATACCATGTAAGAATGTGAGAAAATATATTTGATGTATTAATTTCAAAGGTATGTACATGTATATAAAGACAAAAGATGGGCCTATGTTGTACCTTAATCTAACCTAACCCTACAATACATAATACAACTACTATATAACTAACAAAAAATATATTTGATAAAAGTAGTTGAGTGATTTTTTTTAGGGTACAAAGTAGTTATTGATATGAAACATTATATTTGGCATTATAAACCCACTATTTTTGTAAGTATAAACACTCAGAAATTAATAAATAACCATTATATTTATGTTAACAAAAACAAAATTTTATATTGTTAATTATGTTTTAATTAATTTTTTCACACTTTCTATAATTAAAGTATAAATAAAAGAAATAAATAAATTAAAATACAAAAGAAAGTAACCATCAAATGTAAAATGGTTCTAATTACACTACAAAAAAATTGTTATATTCCAACGGAAAATCCTATGATAATATATTCCAATGAAAATTCCAACGGATATTCCAATGGTATAGCTTCCGTTGGAATGATTCCAACGGAAATTCCAACGAAAATATTCCGTTGGAATGTATTTTTCATTGAAATTTCATATGGAATTTGTTGATTCCAACGGCTTTTGACCGTAGGAATTTCCGTTGGAATATACAATTTCCCTTGGAATTTTTATTTCCACCACCGTTGGAAAATCTATCGTTGGAAGCGTCAAAATCCAACGGAAATTCCAATGGAAAACTCACTCCAACGGAATATTTTTGTTAGAATTTCTGTTGGAATAATTCCAACGGAAATAATAGTATTGAAATATCTATTGAAATTGTCGTTGGAATTCTATTGAAGTATATTTCTGTTGGAATTTCATCATTTTCTTGTAGTGTTATAAACAAATGTTTACAAAAAGAATACAGATGAATGAAAGCAAGGAATTTTAATGTTCCAATTTAACATACAAAAACGGTTAATGAGAAGAAATAAAGAAAATGCAAGCTGATAATAGGATTATAGGACCATTTTTAAAGTGGGTTTTTTCTAACAGAAAAAACTAATAATGGAAAAAGAAAAAGGAAAAACAAATCTATGTTTTAGCTAGTCAACAAGTTAAATCAACTAACTTTGGTTAAACAGCCAAAAAATTTGCTGAAACCCAATAAAAAGCCTTCAATATGCCCTAGTCTATCTTTGAATAATAATCATATCTTAGAAAACTATTTGATATACTATTCGACTTTTATTTTTTTTTTCTTTTTTAACGATCGGAAGAAAAATAAATAAATATACTTTTATTGTAAGTTTTTACTTTTTATTAAACAAGGGTAGTGAAAAATGCATCAGCCACACATAATTCTGGGGAAAGAAGGTTGTTGTTTTCCTAATCTTAATTGATAATAGACTAGTTAATCAATTTTTCCCTGTTTATCAACTAACAACCAAAACTTTGACATTATTTCACATGTGAGATAATAACTGGTGTGATGATTACTTTTATGTATACTATATTCTTACGACCTCATCTGCAAATCTATAAACTTGTACAATATTTCATGTGATGAAACATTTTATAATACATGACTAGCAAAGAATATAGTTCATTTTACCCTATAAGATGAGGGCCCGAAAAAATAAACGCGTATAAAAATGTTCCTATATGCGATTTGTAAGAAAAAAACACGTTCACGAGCATAAGATTAGGTGAATGTTTGATCACAATATAGATTAAATGGCATGTGAACTCAATATTTGAAATGGTTGAATGAGCGCATTAGGCTAAAAAGCACGTGAGGTCGAACACTTAGACCATCTCCAACGCTGCAATATTCTAGTGCAAAACACTAGAGTTGTGTCAAATATCTGCTCCAACCCTGCGCTGAAATCTTGCGCTACATCAGATATGGGAACAGTGCTGCGCCAATTGTAGCGCAACACTGTAGCGCAGCGCCAGATTTTTCCCTTTTTTTTTTATGCTCTAAACCATATATGGTCTAGTGTGTAAATTTGCACTAATTCATATATGGTCTAAACCATTTATGGTCTAGTGTGTAAATTTGTACTAATTCATATATTTTCAAAAGTAACAGTTTTGAATCGGCACATAGATGTATATGTATCTTTTTTAATAAATTCAATTTATTACAATTCATTTTTAAAATGAATAAAAAAATAATATATTTAATAGAGTAAAATGTAGAGATAAGGGCTGGAGATGAATGTTCAGACCACCTCCAGCGCTGCAATATTCTAGCACAAAACACTAGAGTTGTGTCAAATATCTGCTCCAACCCTACGCTGAAATCTTGCGCTACATCAGATATGGGAACAGTGCTGCGCCAATTGTAGCGCAGCGCCAGATTTTTCCTTTTTTTGTTTTTGTTTTTTTATGCTCTAAACCATATATGGTCTAGTGTGTAAATTTGCACTAATTCATATATGGTCTAAACCATATATGGTCTAGTGTGTAAATTTGCACTAATTCATATATTTTCAAAAGTAACAGTTTTGAATCGGTACATAGATGTATATGTATCTTCTTTAAGAAATTCAATTTATTACAATTCATTTTTAAAATGAATAAAAAAATAATATATTTAATGTAGAGTAAAATGTAGAGATAAGGGCTGGAGATGAATGTTCAACTCTACTCTAAAGTAGAGTAAAGTCCGCGCTAGAGTAGAGATAAGGGCTGGAGATGACCTAAACTCTACTCTAGAGTAGAGTAAAGTCCGCGCTAGAGTAGAGATAAGGGCTGGAGATGGCCTTAGTCAGTATTATTGTTGACTTAGAAAAGAATCAACTTGTTAATTTTTATCTTAGAATATCGAAAGGATACAAAAGGTTATGTGCCAATAATATTTGAAGAATGTTTGATCACATTATTGAATTAAAAGGTATGTGAAGTTGAATCACTTAATATGTGAAATGTTTAGGCATATTAGAGTAAAAGACACATGAGTTGAAATACTTTGGTGTATATTGTTTTAGAACTAGAAAAGTATCACTATGCCAAAATTGTTTGATTTCAATGCATTAATAGTAACAAGACTAACACGGGTATCTTAAATGAAATTTATGAAAAAAAATTATAATAACTCTAATAATTTAATATCGGTTGGCCAACGCGCTTCACTTTCAGTGGACGGACAACCTGGGGAAATACCTTGGTGTGCCCGTTATCCACGGCCGAGTGACCAAGTCGACGTTCTCACATATTTTGGACAAGGCGGAGACGCGATTAAATGGGTGGCGCATGAAATCATTGTCGAAGGCAGTACGTGTGACTCTCTCCCAATCAGTACTCAGTGCTTTACCCTACTACTCCATGCTGACGGGGCTACTACCAAACGCCATCACCGAAGGTCTAGATCGTAGATGTCGAGCTTTCATCTGGGGAGGCTCAACAGAGAAGAGAAAGGTGCATTTGGTAGCATGGAAGGAAATTTGTAAAACCAAAGACGAGGGGGGTCTGGGTATTAAGGATATGCGTAAGATGAATTACGCACTTCTGATGAAGTTAGGATGGGGGCTTTTATCGAGAAGTAATTTCCTTTGGGTGCGGATTATGACAGCTAAATACGGGCTTACCATCCCGAATAGGCTAGACAAACCCAAACACGACAAGGTTCACCTCTAGTACAAGCACTTTGCAAGATATGGCCGGATTTGGTGAAAGAAATCCGATGGAATATAGGAAATGGGGAGACGGTGCGATTCTGGCTCGACCCATGGGTAGGCCCAATTGGTCCTCTAATTAACCACGTATGTCAGCGGCCGCCGGAACATACTCTATACCGGACCGTTGTATATTTCGTGGATGCGAGGGGTAATTGGAAGTTGGACGCTTTTCATGAAGTCCTCCCGTCTTTCATCATCATGCATATTGCCGGTATCGTCCCTCCGAGAGACATGGCTGGGGAAGACTGCCTTATGTGGGGACCCTCTCATGACGGGAAATTTTCGACTCGAACGGCTTACATGGCGTTAGCAAAATCGGTAAGAGACCCGGACAAGCCACTTTGGAATATGATTTGGAAAGCTCTGGTGCCGCAACGGATTCGAATGTTCCTATGGTTGGCAGCTAAGGAGCGACTCCTCACCAATAGCGAGCTGGTTAGGCGGCATATTTCGGCTTCGACGGACTGTGATGTTTGCGGAGTGCCCGAAACAACATTGCATGTGTTAAGAGATTGCCCGATAACCAAAAGCACGTGGTATAAGTTTTTCCCATCTGGTGCTAATGGAGATTTCTTCCACCTGCCTCTTAAAGATTGGCTGCGGACCAACTTAGGTCGAGTGAATATGGGTCTATACAGGAGCTGGACCAGCACCTTTGCATTTGCTGTTTGGAGTGCGTGGAAATGGTGGAATGACCGTATCTTCAACAACCGGAATCTGAGTTGTGAAACGCGCTTCCTCGACATCCTCTGCAAAACGGAGGCTTATGCGAAGGCGGCGATGGCTTACGCGAGGGCCGAGCGGCGGTACACACCCTCCGCATGATACAGTGGTACCCGCCGAATCCGAGATGGGTCAAGGTGAATACAGATGGGGCCGCTAGCCGCACCACGGGCTTGTGTAGTGCGGGTGGTTTAATTCGGGATGAGCTTGGTAGATGGATTGAAGGTTTTTCCATGAATATTGGAATTTGCACTATTACCAGAGCCGAGCTGTGGGGTTTGTTTCAGGGCCTACAGATGGCATGGGATTTAGGATTCCGGCAGGTTGTGGCTGAAGTTGATAGCCAATGTGTGGTGAAAATGGTCCTGGGCTCAGAGGATAACTTTGGTGCTAACGAGTCTCTAGTCCGAGCCATTCGAAGTTTGATGCAGAAACAATGGAGCATTTGGATTGTGTATGTGCACAGGGAGGCAAATTTTGCGGCTGATCATATGGCGGACTTAGCGGCTGACTCCCCGTTGGGCTTGCAAAGAATATCGTAAACCCCCTCCCCCCCCAGGGTTAGGGGCATGGATTGACCACGACATGCGTGGAGTAGCCTATCCTTGACGAGTCCTAGTATAGTAACTTCAGGCCTCTGGCCTCCTTCGTTGTACCAAAAAAAAATACCTAGATTTATTTTAAAAATCAAAATATTTTTTTTCCTATGGTATCATAGTATATGGGAGTTTTTATTAAAAATCAAAATCATTGTTTTTCCTATGGTATCATAGTACAGCGTTTTATGTCGCGTCAATATCTAGTTATCTACATATATTTGCATACTGAGATTGTATAAAAAAAGCATTTACATTTTGCACATATATTTCAAAGGGGTTAATTAGACTGTGCACACACAGTATGCATAATGCGTGTAACATATGTGTCTCGCTAAAATATGAACTTAGTATATTGTATGTTGTGTTTATTATGTGTAACAAACTAACACATTTAAAACGGGTGGCCTGATTAGAAACCCCAAAAACTAAGGCATGATTATGACATATCAAAAACCTGTCACTTAGGCTAATTTGTATCCACATATTCTAGTAAAATATACTCGGAGTAAACCAACTTTTGATTTTCCCCTTGACAAGAGTTTTGGACCGATTCAAGTTTCTCCTCCCAATTTCTAATTCAATTTTTTGTTCCATTTTACCAAATAGAATTGTCCACATCTAGATAATACAGTTGAACCTGATCTGATTTCTAGCTAGAAAAACTCCAATTGAATAAGAACCACAAACAACACAATATTAGATATCAATCCAATATGAACATATACATGAATATACTTGAGAAAAATAAAGACTGAAATTTCTGTAATCTGATTAGTCATGAAGTAATCATATGAACAAAAATAATGCATTCGAATCCATACAAAATTAGCTTGCTCCAGATATATCATATATGCACAAATAACTTACAACAAGAGGGGTATGCTCGAAACTCGAAACACGATCCCATCTGTAAACCTGTAAACTGAGCAAAAGAATAAAAATTATATGTATAAAGAAAAAATTACTTCGCTTCATTATTATTGGGCCTATACACAATTGAAATATGCTGCTAAGAACTTGTTGCACTTCCAGTGAACTATGCTCACTTCGAACGAGATCTGTTAACAAGGGAAATAACTGCGAAATATACTTCCTGAAAGAAGCACTTTCTAGACTGCTCAAAATTCTCATGACTGATAGAACTAAAGGCGTACGAGCAGCCAGCTCCTCCTTCTTAGCCGACCCTAACGGAAGAAAAAAGTGTACCAACGGCTTGTTTTTGGTTTTCTGTGAGACACATCCAAACTCGCTACATTCGAGGTATGTCTCGAGTATTTGTTTGCATACGGAGATAAGTTCCAATTCAATGTTCTTCTCCTTGGATAGTGATGGACTGTTTGCGAGTAAGTCGTGCAGGATATTTAAGTAGTTCATGTAAGCCTCAATTTCGAAGTGAACGAGTGGTGGATTTGAGATTTCTAGGATAGTGCATGCTTTGTCTAGCTTGAGCAGTAATATAGTTTCGGAGTTCAATTCATGTGCATGAGATGAAATTGATGAGAGAATCTCGAGAAGGATAGTGATAATGTTTGGCGAAAAGCACTGCCAGTGCCTCTTGTAGAGATCAGTTGTAACCTGTGAGCAATGAGAGGGAAAAAAAAAAGAATTAGTGTGATACTAAGCTAGTATCAAATATAACCGAGATAAATTATGCAGAATCGTGCAGAAATGGATCCAAGTAAATAAATATCTAAGAACTGTTACATTTATCAAACACGATCGAAAATATGCAAAATTATACATGGCGTAAATTGAGGAACAGGCCATGGGTTTTACGTATTCCGAATTAATTTAAAATATGATTCAAAAGTAAAAAGAATGCATGTGAACAATACTGTGAAGTAAGTCCTTACGGCTCTAAACTTCTTCAAGAATGAACGAGGAAAAAAAAAGGTTGGAGGCAAATGCATATCTATGAAGTCCATCAAGAAGTTGAAGGAGAGAAGTTTACCTGTATTATAAGCAGCTGCAGAGATATATGGACTTTCATCCTCGACACTATATACGCCACACTTTGCAGCTTTTCATCCTCGGCACCATCTCCAATTGCACCTCCATTGTCATAAGAAGATTCAGTTTCATAATTGACTGGATTATAATCAGGCACCTCAATGCTGTCCAATGTTTTCAAAAGCTTCATAAAAACAGGCAGTCTACGCACAGCAGCCTCTTCCAAAGAATGAAAGATATCCTGCCATTCCTCTTCAGTAAGTTTGCTTCTCAAGTCAGCACTCAAACGCATCAACGCAGCCACTCCCGCCGTTGAGGGACTTTGACTGGGGCTTCTCACGAATCTCATTATTATAGATATTACTTCATGAAATTGGGGCCTCAACAAATCAAAGAGATTGACAAATAGATCTGTGAGGCATTCTACTGCCACTACACTAGTTTCAGAGTCCCAAATGCTCCCATCGAGTGGGTGTATGGATCCAGAATTTGGTGAATGGCTATCATTGCCTATATCGGACTCTTTACCATCAAAGATGAAGGTAAATATTGGAAAGATGGCACCTTTGAAAACGGTGGCCCAGAATGGCTGTGAGAAAAGGTGGCCGTGGTCTTTCAAAATATTGAAAAGAACTTCCAGCGAACTCTTTCTGATGGCGGCTCTTGGATCTGAAGTCAAATTTGATAACCCTGACAAGATAAAGTTGTATGATATTGTTTAGACGTCTAAGAGTAAGGATGCTGATGGGGAGAAGGCTAACATGGATGAATTTAAACCAAGCAAAATGTGAGAAAGATAAAAAGGAAGAACGATACTCCCTTCTTGCCACAAAGATATGCCAAAATACAATTTCAGGTGTCCCAATTTGCATGATTGTACAGAATAGTTTACAGTTAAAAAATAAAAGTTCCCATTCTGTCCTTATCCAATTTGCATGACTGTCAATAAAATAAAAGTAAAGGAAGTGTAATAATTGTTAACAAGTGGTATGCAGGAAATATATAACCCTAAATTTTACTTTACCAACAACATTGGTCGATGTTTCATTAAATCCTGGGAAAAAGCAATCAAATCCACCATCGTGGGACATGAAAAAGTATATGCAATTCCTAGGTTCATTTCCACATCAGTTATACTCAATTAAAATCCTCTACCTGTAAGCAAAGGAATCCAGAAATGCATATGCCCATCTCTGTCCATGCATGTTTCTTCATCCAAAGCATTGTTCTTTGGTGAAAGAATGCTAGAGTCATTTCCCTCGCTTTTCTCATTGCAAGAAAGTCCACCATCTGCGAGTTTGGCCGCACAGTACCGGAGAAAAGCAATAGCATTGAGACTAACATCACTATTGAATTTACTATTTGTGAAGGTAATGAGGCATTTCACACAATCGGTGAAAGTCAATGCCTCTGTCTCAGTTATGTAGGGAAAATATTCATGCCCTATCTTTTCAATTGTTTCAAAAGCTAACAAAACTATGCTCTTCCGTTCATCAGCTGCAGCTGCAGTGAAAACCTACAAAAGCAGAACATAATATGTGAAAGGCAGAGATCGTATGAGAATGTACTGAGATAAAATATGTTGAGTTTGAGATACTAATAAATAATAACTATCTACAAAAGAAGTTGAATTCCTATGTGAACAAAAGATGGACATCGAGTGCTAACAAGCATACTCTTCAGATATGACAAATTCAAAGCAAGCCCTTATACTTTGAGAATTGCAGGCAACCTTTATAGATCAACATTGAAAAGGGAAATTACCATGAAGACACTCTTCCATCCAGATTTTATGTTATCAACCCTGCTAAGTACCATCTGTGAGATACATCGAACTATTAACTCTCTGATCTCTGTAGAATTGCTTTTCTGCATCACAATGGTGAAAGGCCTCAAAAATTCATTCTGGAAATTATAGTTCACCAGTTCTTCTCGCTCGAGGAATTTCATAGCAAGCTGTCGCAATGAATCCATAACAAAGATTGCAACAGAAAGGTTCTCGGACAAACCAACTGACACAAAGAATTCGGAAAGAACATTCCATATACGTGACCACACTAGCCTTATGCGATTCATGTTATAGTGCCTGTAGAACAGAATATTCAAGTGTTTTATCTCTCATCACAAATCTTGAGAGGATTGATTAAAAAAATATGAATTAACTTTAAATTTGGGAAAGGATCTTACGCAACTTCCACGATTTTTGTTAGGCTAAACACACGTGGATCAGTTGGGGACTGCAGTTCTGCCATGGAAACTTTGCAGAGTGATTTTACAAAAGCCACTATTGCCTCACTGTTTAACCTCTGGTTATGAGCAAAAATGTGGTTCAATTCAAAGTTCCCAATTTGATCAAGCAAATACAAGTTCGAAATGAAGTAGTTGATCTGCTCCGGAGTAACAAGACCAGGGGAGTTGACTGCCACAGAGGTGCTATCATAGGAGCCTCCTCAAACAACTGCCATAACAGCGGGATTTTGGAGTGTTCCTTTTCTATTCAGAGATGGGTAACTCTCAGTATTCAATATCTTCTCTGCAGATTCAGAATTTGATGTATTAAGGAACGACGCATCAGAAGGTGCTCCCTCCCCCAAGAGTTGCAAATGCTCAAATCGAGATAAGCATGTCAGAATATGTTAGAGTAGGATACCCGGCGTTCCAATCAGATTGGACGTATTCTACTTGTAAATACAATCTATTGGAATTATATTAATTAAAAGGCATTACTTTATCTTAAGAAAAAGCATTTATCCTATATTTGCACTTAAGATAAAATCCCTAGATCACATATAGCTATAAGGTATGGTTGCGCATAGAGATGGTGATCATGGAACATACCTTGAAAGCTGTGATCTTAAATAAAGTTCCAAGTCGATGGATGTTTCAAAAAGGGATATCGAATAATCCATAAAAGACTTGTACATAGTATGTATGCTTGTTTGACAAGAATGTTGCATTCCATCAACATTAGCGTGGGACGCAAGTACATATATGTGGGTGCTTGTTAGAGAACAAGTTCACTGAACATGACCGTATGAAAATTCTTAATGAAGAATTATTTTAGTTAATTATTCTGTCGAATAAGAATTTTCATGTTACAATAGTACATGACTAATCCTTAGACTTGAGGCACAATGGTAACTTTGTGCATATTACGTTCTACTTTGATTTATCCTTTTGGTTGCTAGCACAATCGTATAAAGGGATATTTTGGGTATTATGTTAATATGTATGGAAGTTTGTTAGTGGCCAACAAAGGATTCGACACGTATGAAGATACGAGAATTTCCTATGTATTTCATAGTTAGTAATTCAAAGTCCTTGGCCAAGGCAGGATGAATAGAGATTCACACATGAATTACTAAACATGAAATAGAATCATAGTTATTAAATCAATTTGGGTTTCGACTAAAATCATACCCAAGATTTAATCGGGAAATTAGATGTCGAAAGGATTTTACATGTATGGACTTGTAATTGAAATAGGTTTACTCGCTATTCACTTAATACTAGATTCATGCTACTTGCTAGATGTTCCCATGATATGTGGGTTCTTGAATTAAGGAGTTAATTCATGAATAAGAGTTAATAAGATTAACTCAAATTACAAAGAGTTGTAAACCCACAACTAGTATTAATAGTGAACCTAAAAGGTCACACCTAAATTTGAATGAAGGTTAAATTTAAATAGTAATTCTAAAGAGTTAGAATTAATTGACAAAATCTAATTTGATTAGATGTCAATAAAGGAATATATTAAATTAATCAATTGGATTGATTAATTGAAATTTTAGATACTAATTTAGTAATTAATGGAATTACTAATTAATATTTGGAATTTAAAATTAGATTTTAAATTTCAAATCCAAAATAATAATATGATTATTAAATGAGGAAATGAAATAAAGGATTAAAATAATAAAGTCTTGAAAGATGCTTTCAAGAATTATTATTTTATTAAATATCTTTAATATGATTAAAGATTAAATATTAATAAAAATAAATTAATTATGGTGGTTATAAGATGCTAACTACTTAACATAATTAATCTTATTCTTATTAATTGAATATTGGGTGGGGAATAGTCTTGTTCAAGACTTAATATTTTATGAAAATATTCTTGAAGACTTTTCATATTTTATGAAAATATTCTACCCAATATTATTATTTTATACTAAAATGTTTAGTATAAATATGGACATGTTTGATGTTCAAATTTAATCTTGAGATTTGATCTTAATGAATTCCATATAAGTTTTCAAAGAGTTGAAAAAGAGAGAACTAAGAAATGTTCTAAGTTTTTAAGAAGAAAATTCAAGTGTTGAATAATCTCTCAAAATACAAGAAAGAGTTCTTGTAAATCTTATCATAAATATATTGATATTTAAGTTAAGTTTAAAAGGAGTTTTAAACTTAGTCTTAAGATAAGATTTGATATTAAGATTTGATCTTAATTTTTCAAAGAATTGAAAAAGAGAGAAAAGAAGAAGTGTTCTTCAAAATCTTCAAATTACAAGAAAGAGTTCTTGTAAAAATTTCCTCATAAATATATTCCAAACTAATTGAATAAAAACCGATTAGTTTCTACTAGCGAAGGAACTAGTTCGGAACCGGACTTCAAAAGGTGGATACGTTTAGAGGGAAGACACGTGGATTCCTTAAGCGAGTAAACACAAAGTATTGCTGTTACCAAACCGGGAATCGATTCCCTCATCCATTGACAATTTTGAAGGAGTTCAAGACTAAGGTAAATTTAGAATTTACTTACAACAAATCAAAATTTGTATTATTACATGTTATTAAAGATGACGATCTGTTAATTCGCCATATGTATGCACGAGTAAAGTATTTAAAGGTTAAATACTTGTTTTGAAAAATTTTAAATTCCGCTGCATATAGCTCGTACAGTACAGGCGAACCCAACAGAATATGCTCCCACGCTTCCTGAAGGTAATTCCCATCTTCAATTGCAATTGATATCATAGTCTGACAAAACAAAAGAGTTTTTCCCCAATCACTTCCATTGCCGAGGGAAAAAGAGTTAAAGTCCAAAAAATTGATGAGCAGCACAAGACTTATAGAAGAAAAGTTATCAATAGTCTATATGTCAAAGTAGACTAAGTAGTGTCTTTCAAGGTGGGGGAAGATGTTATATGTAAATGTTGTTGCACGAGAGTTTAGCCTTTCGACAAAACGGAAGGATAAAAATAATTACCTTGACAGCATCAACATTTTTTTGCTTCATATCAGCCGCACAGTGGAGGTTAGTAAACTTAGCCACAGTAGTAACAAAGGCATCTCTCTGAGTCTGCATACCCATCATGGCAGTAACATGCACAGCATGACGAAATCATTGAGAAGTAGCTTCCTTGTCATCGCTTTGGTCCAGCATTACACTAAAGGCAGCAAGCATTGGGCCCCAGCAGACTTCAACCATGAACCTCAATATTGAAGGATCTGCTACAGCATAGTAGAAAACTCTGCAGGGGGGGAGAAGACAAGAGTTTAAAGCAAATGTATGAAGTGTTAGAATCCCAGAACACCCAAAACTAAGAAAACAGTCATTACTACACACAAATATTGATACTTAAAAGGCAGATCACATGGCTAAAGCAAATGCAAGAAGTGTTAGGATTTCAGAACACCCAAAACCAAGAAAACAATCATTACTACACACAAATATTGATACTTAAAGAACAGATCACATGGCTCTAACTTCAAGCACCAAACATGTAAAACAACCAGTATACACATAACTATACATGTATGAATTTTTCTTCTAGGTGAAATGTAGATGAATTAAAGAATAAATAAATAAATACAAAGAGCATAGTCAAGAAAATATGTGGAAATTTATCATACTCTGATTTTGCAGATTTTGCCTTAAACTGCTCTTGGATATGCCTCAACAGATATCCATTTGCACCCACAGGTTTTTCTTCTGTCGGCTTCCAGACTAGGTTGAGTATTCCATCCAAGCCCAGCAGTTTATTCAGGCTATTTCCATGTTTGCTTTGGGGAGCAGAAGGCTCGGCATTCATTTTAATCTCATTTTTTACAACTTGATCATAGAGTGCACCCAAATAATCTTCAGGTAGATCCTTGCCATTATCAATTCCTCGATTATTCCGGATGAAATCAGCCTTACTCATCTGGATGACCCAAACTCAGTATAAGCCAGAAAACAGCCCTTGATACAACCAAATCAATTAAATCAAGGATAGTGTAATCAAGTACAAAAGACCTAAACAGTTCATAATAAGTTCCATCGGTCCATACTAGAAACTACTATGGTAATTTCTAGAAATTAAATGTGTCAGACCGAATCATTGTTATCTGCTATTGGTTTCAATGTGGCACAAGATTAGGATATGTGAACACAGTGAGATATGAAGTATGTTCCCACCCTTTCCATTAGCAAGGTAAGAAAACATCTTTAAGTTGCAGACTCTCCAGTTGGAAAAGGAGTAGCAAAAAGAAGAGTTAAAAAATCATCAAATCAAATACTTCATAGGGGAATTATTCTGAAAATAGTGGAACAAATTAATCAAGAATGCTTGCATATCATTTTCCCTTTCAGACACAACCAGCATAGAAACAAGAAAAAAATGTTGAAAACTTGAGGGAAAAATGAAAGAACAAAAGAACTCAGTTTCAGCTAGAGAAAAAGAACTGAAATGCACCTTATCCTTTACCATACTATTATGTGCATCAGTGTTGAGAATTATGACTGAGTAAGCAAGCACATAAGCTGTGTCAGCACTGGTGAATGCACTCGGATTGCATTTACAGTAGCGTTCTGCAAATTTTTCCATGATGCGGTCAATCTTTTGCGTTTCACCCGGTAACCTAAAACCTCTCAGAAAGAATCTGATTGCTTCAGCAAAGCTCATATTCTCAAAGTTAAAGGAATCCACATATGCATGCATAACTTTCATAGGAAATTCCTCTCTTTCACCGAAATAATCACCAATCATACTTTCATTCAGGCCTGAAGAGCTTTTGAGAAAAGAAGCCACTTCTTCTGGGGAATTGCCAACTCTTTTGGCGCTTATTAAGAACTCAATTCCCTTGGAAGGTTTCCTATTGAACAGTGCAACACCTTTCTGCATTTATTACATTGACATAATCACTATAGTAGTATATTATTCAAAGCTATTATCCAAATGTTGGAAAAGAAAAATTACAGTATTAGGCACTTAATGCACAATAAATATTTCTTTTGAACTTATTACAAAACAATATTCTCATTGTACTATGGCATTCAGCAACAATTCATAGTGTAAACAAAATCTTGAGACCATTCCTCTTGAAGTGTATCTATTATCAAACCTGAATTTCTACTTTATAAGCTCTACACTGCTCCAAGGTTGCAGTGATCAACAGTTCAGAATTTGCTTCCAGGTGCTCAAATCAGAACTATTTGTGTCGTCAACAATGTAAGTGGGATTCTCAGTCAAGTTTTCACTCTCAGAAACTTTTGGAGGATTAGATTCTGAAACTTTTAGCTGTTGGTCCATCCACGAACCCATTGACTTGATAATTTTAGCCAGACATTTGACTGATTCATGACGAAATGTCATATCTTGGACAGGAGACAAAGAGGTCACTGAACCAGGTGATGGACCTAGGGCAGTTTTCAGAAGTCCATTCACAGTCCTGCAAATATTAAGGGATTCTAACAATTCACAAACAATGCTAGAAAAACAATTACAAAGGAATGGTAAAAGATTTAATAAAACATATAACCTAAAGCAACAAATTTGGGGAACAGACATATCTTCACATAGCTATTATTCACAGTTACAGTTATATTTTAGAAAATGTGCAGTCAGGGATAATAATTCCCACTTTGCATGACTTGAATATTTTCCAAGTTGCAACTGGACTGGAACATGTACTTATTGTACAAGTAAAAAAGCTAAGCCAGCAGGTCTAAAATAAGTGAACAATAACATCAAATGTCATCATACAACATCATAGTTTACATCAGTTTATGTGGAATGTTGGTCTCAACTGAAAATAATGCCGAGCAGAAAATATCAAGACGCATAAAGAGGAAAATTATCAAGACCTAATTCCTTGTACCTTTCGAATATGTTTGGAGCCTCCACATCGCAGTCATAGTTGACAAAAGTATCAATAGTAAGTTGTGGATACTGAGCAATCTTTTCCAGTAAATTCAAGACAGTCATCTTCTGTAAGAAACTTGGTTGAAGAACATTCTCTAGTACACGAAGAATCAGCATTGGAAAAAATATTCCAATCTCTGATTTCAATCCGGACCTAAACTTTGATAGTAAGTGCCAAAATATTGAACAAAGAAGCTGAAAAACAGTCATAACAGAGAGAGCACTGTTCTTCAACAACGACATGCATAGATATTGCTTGACCGCATTAACAAACCTGTTAAGGACAGCTGTATTAGTTAGCCGCGAGAAATACAAGGAAACAAACTAAAGAAAAATGATCACATCAATGAGTATGATATATCAGAGTCGACTCATCATCTCAACCCTGGAAAGTCCCAAAAAACAGACAGAGGTTCACCTCCATACACCTACTTCTTCCTCATAATTAAACGACAAATATGGCTTGCATCATATGATGTAAGAAATCATGAAACAAAGCAGAAAATAATGACCCCATAACATCCATTTACAGGAGCACTATTTTACATTAATCTAAACACATGAAACAATGATAGCTCTCCCTCCTATGCTCACTCTTTGTTGACATGTCTAAGCTTGGAAATGGTTACTCAAGACATATTACACTTTAACATTTCACAACGCATGAACACTACAGATGAATTCAACATGTGATACAATAAGCGCATAAAACTTTTTATGAGTTGGCACTTGCCTCTCATTGGAACGCCAGATCGGACCTGCATTGCCCATGATGACATTCAGAAGCTCCAGGGACAGAATTTTCCCCCTCAAAAGAATCTGATCGTCGGGATTTTCCTGCGAGGAAAATTTCATGGACAATTTGCCTAAATTCTTGAAGAGCATAAACCCATCCTCCCTAATCTTACTGTATTCACTCAAATCAGCACCATCCTCGACAGGTTTCTCGTTTTCTTCATGAGTTTTTTCTTTAGGGGTCGAATCCGAATCATTCTGGAGATGCAAGGGAAACTTCACATAAGGAAGGCTATCCTTGGCCTCCACAATCTCATTGATGAAGTTCTGGGCGAACTGTATGGAGCTTCCTTCATTGAGATTCCTATCAGCAAACTCCAGCAATTCGAACACTGAAACATTTTTAAAGTCCACAAGCATGGAATTTTCCTCGACTCTGGTGAAAACTATAACCATCATCTGCGCTAGAACAGATTTGGCGCAGATCTGATTGGTCCCACTGCGGCCACCAAGGTAGACATTGTAACAGGACCTCACGACATAGACGAGGCAGGTCCCCCTTATGTAGATGCAGGGAGATCGGACGGCGGACAAAAGGACCTTTAGCACAGCTAGTTCGACGGCCTCGTCCCCGACGGCAGCACATTTACAGACAGAGTCAATGAGGCGGAAGACGACTGAGGATGAGCTATCCTCAATCTCGCATCCGCGAATGAGGCCGAAGGAGAAGAGCCGGAACACGCAGTCAAGGGCGGGCTCGACGACCTTGACAGAGCCCGAGTCAAGGGCCATGACGACGGGATGGAGCAGGAACTCGGCGTCTGAGAGGGCGAGGCCGTAGAGCGGGGCGCAAGAGGTGGGATCGGATGCGTCGTCGGCTAGCGAGTCGAGCTTGTCGAGCGCGGATTTGCAGGCAGACACGAGGCCGGCGTGCTTCCGCCAGGCCGCGTTCTTTACGATCTTGTCCAGCGAGGGGCCGAGCACCCAGCCGCAGCGGGACGCGCCGCCTAGGGTTTGGGACGACGACATTGGGAATTCAGCGGCGCGTGCCGGCCCCACCTCGTACACCCCCGACAAGCACTCGGTATTTCAGCGCCGGAGCTCGCTTTGCGACCGGGATAGATCAGGCATAACAATCGAGTAAAATGCTGAGGAGGCCAACAAATGGTACGGACTTCGAAAATTGAGGAAATAGATCGATGAGCATTCAATGTATGTGTATGCGTACACGCGCGCGCGCGCGTGTATGATTGAGAAGACGGTGCCGACCGACGCAGGCTATAATCCGGGATCGGTTGCGGCGACTCGTCCTGGATTTCACTGCCCTCTAACTTCAATCGTAGCTTAAAAGTTAATTTATGGCTGATAAATTAAATGAGGATTATAAATTAATTTTTATTTTATAATAGTTTATAATAAAAATATTTGATAAAATTAACAAATAAACTAATTAAAATAAATTTTTTTATAAGATTTTCTTCAAGCTACATAAACAAATTTATGAGATAACCTCTCATCCTTTTGCCAAAATAAATTTATTTAAATATAAAAGGCTTATACACTAAGGGTGGGTTTGATTGGAAGGATTTGGCTTGATATCCTGCTATTTGTTAATATATCAAGCCATTTATTTTGTTTGGTTACTCTTTGTATAGCCCATTAAACCCGCAAAAGCCCGGTCACTTTTCTCCTTTTTTATTATTCGGTATCCGGCCTCCTTTGTAGGATGGGGTATCATTTTCATCAAATCATTAAAATACCCTAAAATACCCATCTATTCTCTTTATCGTGTCTTCCCCCCATTCTCATGTTCATCCCCGACGACATTCCGCCGCCTCCATCCCCACTGCCACCCTCGCTCTCCCCTCTGCCGCTGCCGCCCCGGTCCCCGTCGAGACATCCGCCCTCATCTGACACAAAAGGAAAGTAGAAAAAGACTCCCGCAAGCGCTACTGCTCCGAGAAGAGTAGCGCCGCCGCCTATGGCGGCATTCGCCACCTGTTCTCCTACCTCGCCAAGGATGTGAATATCTTATACCGCCGTCAATTTTTCAAATTCTATCTATTTTTTCTGGTGGCCTTTCTTTTCCTTGTCAATTGGGGTTTTTGATTGTGAAGAAGATAAAAAATATTAATTTTGGGCCCTAATCTGTGAGTAAATTTTGGGATGAATTTGGTGCACATTCAATTTGAGGTGAGGAAGGATGATGAGAAAAAAATAATAGTTTTTGTGGTCTAATCTATGATTTGGTTTTGGGATGAATTTCGTACACCAATTTGAGATGAGGAAGCATGAGGAATTTGATATGAGTAGTGTTTAGGTAAACAAGGGCAAGTTGTGAAAATTGAATTTTGAATGAAGGGCAAATTGTGAAGAATGAAGGGCAAATTGTGAAAAGTGATTTCTACAGGGTCAGTTTGGTTACAAAAACTGATTGGGCTTGATATAATCATTCCTGATAATATCAAAGGCTATCCATCAATTCAATTAGCCCATTAACTTGTTTGGTTTGAGATTGACGGTCAGTTTGGTTACAAAAACTGATTGGGCTTAATATAATCATTCCTGATAAATATCAAAGGCTATCCATCAATTCAATTAGCCCATTAACTTGTTTGGTTTGAGATTGAAAATTATCTCTCTTAAGTAGAAATCATTTTTCTACCCTTCATTCAAAAGTCAATTTTCACAATTTGCCCTTGTTTACCTAAACACTACCCAGTTCAAATTCCTCGTGCTTCCTCATCTCAAATTGGTGTACGAAATTCATCCCAAAACCAAATCATAGATTAGACCACAAAACTATTATTTTTTTGTCATCATCCTTCCTCACCTCAAATTGAATGTGCACCAAATTCATCCCAAAATCTACTCACAGATTAGGGCCCAAAATTAATATTTTTTATCTTCTTCACAATCAAAAAACCCCAATTGACAAGGAAAAGAAAGGCCACCAGAAAAAATAGATAGAATTTGAAAAATTGACGGTGGTATAAGATATTCACATCCTTGGCGAGGTAGGAGAACCGGTGGCGGGTGCCGCCATCGGCGGCGGCGCGACTCTTCTCGGAGCAGTAGCGCTTGCGGGAGTCTTTTTCTACTTTCCTTTTGTGTCAGATGAGGGCGGATGTCTCGACGGGGGACTGGGGCGGTGGCGGCAGAGGGGAGAGCGAGGGTGGCAGTGGGGATGGAGGAGGCGGAATGTCGTCGGGGATGAACATGAGAATGGAGGGAAGACACGATAAAGAGAATAGATGGGTATTTTAGGGTATTTTAATGATTTGATGAAAATGATACCCCATCCTACAAAGAAGGTCGGATACCAAATAATAAAAAAGAGAAAAAGTGACCGGGCTTTTGCGGACTTAACGGGCTATTCAAAGAGTAATCAAACAAAATAAATGGCTGGATATATTAACAAATGGCAGGATATCAAGCCAAATCCTTCCAACCAAACCCACCCTAACTAAACAAGCTATAACATGACTTATGATGCTTAGTAAGTATATTCTTGTGTAATTATAATACTCCCTCCTATTTTTATTATTTGTCATTTTGGCTTAATTGATCATTGATTAAATAAATGTCGTTTTGGATATTTTGTTCATATTTTTCCATTTTTAACTTTTCATCTAATACATAGTGTCTCTTCATATCTCATCTACATAGTTTCCATAACATCCATTAAATAGGGTTAATATTGGCAAGAAAAAAATCTTAATTAACGTGTTGCTTCTCAAAACCACAAATAATAAAGAAAAAAAATGATATATAGCTAACCTAGTGTACAACTAGGTTGACAACACAAGTGAAAATATCCATTGTGTATTTTTTTTATTTTTATTTTTGTAGATGTTTTTTTATATTATTGAATAGATTATTACATTATAACATATTGTTTTTGTATTTTTCTGTTCTAAACCTCACAAATTACACTAACACAAGTATCTTTCGACCAGCTCTACTATTCTAAAAACATATATTATCTCCTATTCTTTCTAAATGTCATTTTGGTTTTATCAACTATTAACCAAAATAAATGTCGTTTTGGATTTTTTGTACATATTTTTCCATTATTACCCTCATTTAGTTAATAAATACACTACTACGTCTTTTCATATTCTCTTCATCTTTTTTTTTTTAAAACATCAATCTCTATCTTCATTAATGAAAGTTATTATTAGCAAAAAAATTATTCTTAATTAGTATGCAACTTTCCAAAACGACACTTATTATGAATAGGAGGGAGTAAAAACTAGATTAA